TTCATCCTCCTCCTCCAGCTGTGCGGGGAGCGTCTTCATCCTCCTCCTCCAGCTGTGCGGGGAGCGTCTTCATCCTCCTCCAGCTGTGCGGGGAGCCTCTTCATCCTCCTCCAGCTGTGCGGAGAGCCTCTTCATCCTCCTCCAGCTGTGCGCCCTGAGACAGATGTTTTACGCACAGCGTCTCCACACAGCTCTGCAGGACGCGCGCACAACTGCTGTCAGAACTCCTGCACACATTACAGTGCACAACATTTCAGATGTAATAAATAAGCTTACAGTAAAAAAAAAAAAACGAGTGAAATGTTTGTGTATTACATCAAGTATCAAATCAACGGCACTAATTAGTCAAAATAACAGCGATCAAAATGTTGACAAGACAATTGATCTAAAATAAATGGATGGATGGCAGAAAGACTGGAGCAGAACACACAGGACTGAACTCAGCTGAGAAGAGTTCAGGTCGGCGGTGTGTGTGTGTGTGTGTGTGTGTGTGTGTGTGTGTGTGTGTGTGTTAGGACACCTGAGACTGTCAAGGACGTGCATTCATACACAGGCACAGTAACTTCAATTCAACCTTTATTTAAACAGGTTTAACCTTGAGCCTCGTCAAGAGAGACCTGTTTTTAACCAGTTTATTCAAATGTTTAACAACCTGTTAAAATACACCAAAATGCAGGACATGGCATCTTTTTTATTCCAATTTTTCTGGGGGAGGACACGCGGACCCTATATTTAAATATATTCTATATTACACCACTAGATGTCACTGAAATGAACCTTTGAATGAATGAACCCAAGTTCAATACAACTGGCAAAGTGGTTCAATACTGCTTCATTTGGCCACCACTACTAACCAGAATAATCACTGTGAAAAATCACATCATGTTGCTGCTGATCTGTTTCGTGTTGCTGCTGATCTGTTTCAATGTTGATGTGTTCATGCGTGCACATCTGCTCACAGACTCATGTTCATGTTTGTGCTGATGTTCAATGTTTTATGTTATGAGTGCTTAGTGTATATTTAGTTGATGTTTTTCTTAGTTCATATCTTAGATGTTATTACTGTTTTTCTTATACATTTTATTGTTGGATGTAACTGGGACCCTGTGTACATAATTTCAGTCCACCACATGTACCACATGAGGTGCGAATGACAAAGAAACTGACATATACACACACACACACACACACACACAGGTATTTATAATATACACAATATATAATATCTATAGCAGGTCCCCAGTTCAAATCCCAGTCCAGGGGCCTTACTGGGTGCAGTTTGCATGTTCTCTCCGTGCTGCGTGGGTTTCCTTCAGGTACTCCAGTTTCCTCCCAGACAAAAAACATGCATGTTGGACTGGTAACTCTAAGTTGTCCCTTGGTGAGAGTGAATAGTTTGTCCCATTTGTACTAGAACAGAATATTGTGATGAACTGTCTCAAACGCAGCACTGAGGTGTAACAGGACCAGTAGAGACACCTGTCCATTAGAGTATCATGAGTAACCTTGACCAGTGCAGAGCTCTAACCCCCGACTGAAACTCTTCAGATTCTTTGCAGATGATCATGTGACTGACCCGGTCTCAACAGGTTCAGCTGGTGTTTACAGGTGTTTCACTAGAACCTGGTTTCCTTCAGGCTTACAGCTGAGCAGAAACCAGAGGTAGCTCACCCCCCCCAGGGTTTGTTATGTAACCAAACTGGGGGGAGAGATTGAAACCACATCCCTGACTTGAAGCAGAAATCTGAATAAACCGTTTCGGTCTGTTACTGAACAGCCATGAGGTTAAAGTTCACCTGAGTCTTTCAGCCTGAACACACGTGCAAATCACTCCGAGGGTCACACAAACCTACACCACAGTGGTGACGAAAGTCCTGCAGGTGTCCTCAGACGTGTCGGGACCTGCTGCCTCGCCCCATTCCTCACTGGGGGACACCAGCCTGCCTGACTGGGTGGACAGGTTGTTGCCATGGTGACAGGGTTGGACACGTGACAAACTGGGTGAGGCACAAAGCTTCAGTTTGAACTCGTCAAACAGGTTCTGTAAAGTCTTTCAATCATGGAACCAGAACCACACGACCCGGCCCTCATCTCAACTTGGACTTTATATAAAGTGGTTTGCTGACAGACAACCGGACCGACGGGTTCAACAGGAAACGAGCTTTGAGGGAACCAGGAGCCGTTGCTGGTTCTGTAGAACTGGCCCGTATGGAGAGGTTCTGTTCGAGTTAAAATGGCTGAAAGCCGGACCGACCCATCTGAACCCAAACCATCATAGACGCTTGAAAGATCAAAAGGAACTTCCTGTTGAAAACACAAGTGAAACCAGAAGGTCTTAAAAAGTTTATTAAAAACAAGTCAAAACAGAAAAATGTACAAGAACACGAGATCATTATGGGATGTCCACCACATCATTATGGGATGTCCAACAGTTTATAAATTAAAAACATGGACCAGCAGCAGAAACTTCTCCAGTCCTCAGAAATAAAAACATTCCCAGTAGAAATAAAATCGAGGCGACGAGCTGAAGCTCCAGCGCCGCCGGCCGCCTCACATGGGGTCCAGTTCCCTCTGCTGGATCCGAACAACAGAAAGTTAGTTTGACGCAGACAGGCCTTTAGGCCCCGCCCCCTGCACACAAACAGGAAGTCCACCAACCTGAGTTTTGCTGTATCTCTGCTTCTGACGCCGCCGGATGAAGAACTGCAGAGAAACACAAGTTAGTTTCAGAAAGGTCCAGGTGGACTTGGTCTGAGTGGACGGGTCCTCACCAGAGCCAGCAGGCCGATGACCACGGCCAGAACCACCACCACGATGACGGCGATGATCCCGCCCGACAGGTGCTTCATGGTGAACGTGGGGGGCTTGGTGTCCACGTAGTACACCAGGATGTCCTCCATGTCCACAGTCTGCTCGCCCACTTTGGGAGAGAACGTGTTCTGGTTGGTGAACAGGGGCAGAACCTTGACGTCCTTCTCCATGTAGTAGGCCATGTGGGCCAGGTTGATGTCCTTGTTGTCCTCAGGCTTCTTCACGTCCACCACGATGCGTCGGGCTTCTGGGTTGTACTGAATCTCTTTGACCAGGCTCCTGTCGAAGCCGTAGCGGTCTCTGATGGCGTCCCCAATGGCGCTCTGCAGTTTGCCATAATCCAGTTTGGTCGGCACCGGCTTGTGTTTCAGCTGCAGACGAACCCAGAAGGTCTCCACCAGCTCGGGACACGTGATGCTGTCCTTGTTGCCCTTGTCGGTCCTGCGGACCCCGGTGCTGTTCACGCACCAGCACTCTGCGGTGCCGTTGCACTGCTTGGCCTGGAATTTACCGTCGTTCTCGCAGTCCGGGTCGTAGATCGAGTCATTGTTGGTGAAGGCCGACTCCACCGGCTTGCCTCCGATAGTGCGGGTGCCCAGGTTGTTCGTGGCCCGGTACATCTCCGCCTTCATCAGGATGCACTTCGGAACCAAGACAGAGCAGTTCAGGGCTTTTTTCTCACCAGCCTCGACCAGAACCGTGCACTGACAACCAGAGCCAACTGGGTCGCAGGTGGCCCACTTCATGGACTGACACACACACACTGAGCTGCAGCCAGGGAGCAGAAGGCAGCCAGGCCCAGAAGAACCAGAACCTTCGTCATGACTTCGGTCCTGGATCGATTAAAGTTCCCTTGGTTCCGACAGTATAGTTAGGGTCGGCTTGGGTTTCCTGAGTTGTCCCTTAGTTATGCTACTATAGGCTTAGACTGCTGGAGGGCAAACTGACCACAATTTTCACTCTACTTCTGTCTTTACTTACTCTGCTCAACCCGTTTTGTATTTGTAATTATGTTTTCTATCCTTAACATGTGGGGTTTTTTGTCTTTCAGATGCACCTGGACCTATACCTGGACCTACCATTCTGTGTTCGTCTGTCTCTCCTTCCTGTCCTCTCAACCAGCTGGTCAAAGCAGATGGCCGCTTGTCCTGAGCCTGGTTCTGCTGGAGGTTTCTTCCTTTTAAAAAGGAGTTTTTCCTTTCCACTGTTGCCACTGTGCTTGCTCAGGATGGGAGACTGTAACGAAGCCAAGATCCAACTTGTCTGCTGGATTCCTTAGATAGAGAACTTTACTAATTGGCGTTTATGTATGTGAATGTTCCTGTAATGTGCCCTGAGACAACTTTGTTGGGATTTGGCGCTATATAAATAAACTGAATTGAATTGAATTCACAATTGTATAAATAACAATAAAACTAAAATCTTGCTTCCAGTAGTACTATAAAACATGTTTGTCTCTTTCAGGTGTCATTCGCCAAGTAAAGCCTTTGATTGGTCCAATGGCTACGGTACTGAAGCTTTCTATGCGCAACCGAACAGCTCAAGGTGACTCTGGCCAGAACATCATCAACGTTCACATTTTTGTCTCTGAGTTTTGGTTCTGAGAAGAAGAGGGGCAGATTTTTCAACACATATTAAGACATCTATTGTCAACACTGTACACTTTATTTTTGTATTAGCAACACATGAAACCAGTGCTAAAATTTAATGGTAAGCATTAACGATGTCATCAGTTTGACTGTTATCAAGACTGAAGGCCATTCTGTGTTTCTGTTGAGAGCTTTATATCTTGTATCAAATATAAATTTAGCTTAAAATGAACAAATATGGAGAAAATTTATTCAATGTGATCTGCATAGGAATGTCCTAAAGATTAATGTTTTTAGTTGAAAAATGCACGATTGTAGAGAATTTAAAGAACACAGTGACTACATTTAAAATGTTCTTTTTTATTTCAATATACATCTTTGTTTTTTAACATTAACTTTTCTTTTTTATTATTTGTATGATTTTGTACTTGAGCTTTTAATATCAAAATAAACACTATTTTAGTTACAGAATGGAGTTTTTGTATTTTATTCAAATTCCATTTCAGTAACAAAAGTTCAATTTGGGTTCAAAATTTGTTTTGGATACTCGGGTGAAGAGAGAAGCAAAGCTGTCAACTGATCAAAACCTGGTAGTAAGTTGGACCAAAGGGTGGGGAAGATGCCAGACAGACCCAGTAGACCCAAATGTTTAGTGAGGGTTTGCTGGGAAAGTCTGGTAGAAGAACCTGTCAGAAAGATCTTCCACTCACACCTCCGGGAGAGCTTTAACCACAACCCAGCTGAGGTGTGGGACATCGAGTCAGAATGTGACATGTTCCACACCTCAGTTGTTAAGGTGGCTGCCTTGAGCTGTGGCAACAAGGTTGTCGGTGCTTCTTGCGGGGGCTATCCTCAAACTCGGTGGTGAACCCCAAGATGATGATGATGATAGATATGGTATAGATGATGATATGATGATCTTGATTCCAAGATCCAAGATGGCGCCATGTACGGTCGCCCTGGCATTCTGGTGCGCTCTGTTTTTTCTGTTTTTGTGCATTAATCATGTGTCTGCATGCTCCTACACTCGCGAGGAGCTACTAAACATCAGAATTACAACCCATGAGGACATTACTCCAGTTTTTTTAGTGCCTGCTGCAGAACTTGTGCACTTTTTGGCCAAAAGAGCGAGACTTCGCAGGAGGGGCAGAAGAGCCGGAGTGCTCGTGCGTCTCCGGAGGCGCAGTACACGCACGCCTTTACCTGGGATATTCCTCTCCAACGTCCGTTCCCTCTACAATAAAATGGACAAGATAGCGCTGCTGATGAGAAGGAACAGCGATTTTTCCTCCTCCTGTGTGCTGTGTTTCACGGAGACATGGCTCAACGAGCAGACCCCGGACTCCGCACTCCATCTCGAGGGTTACCAGCTCCTCCGTGCTGACAGACAGCAGGAACTTTCCGGAGGAAAGAAGAAAGGCGGAGGAGTCTGTTTTTTTATCAATAACGCCTGGTGCTCTGACGTGACAGTGATCTCCCAGCACTGCTCTCCTCTGGAATATCTCTTCATAAACTGCAAACCATTCTACTCTCCACGTGAGTTCACTTCATTCATTCTGGCCGCTGTTTACATCCCACCGTGCGCGGACGTGCACGAGGCTGAGCGCGCGCTCGCGGACCAGATTACGAGTGTAGAGCGGACTTTTCCGGACTCCCTTGTTATTATCCTTGGAGATTTTAACAAAGCAAACCTCAGGCATGAACTACCTAAATATAAACAGTTTATTAAATGCCCGACAAGAGAAGGAAACACGCTGGATCACTGTTACACCACAGTGAGCGGTGCTTATCGTGCTGTGCCTCGTGCTGCCCTGGGTCTCTCAGATCATGTGATGATTCACCTCATACCTGCATACAGACAGAGACTGAAGCTCTCAAAACCTGTGGTGAGGACATCCAAAAAGTGGACCAGTGAAGCTGTGGAGGAGCTACGCACGTGTTTGGACACCACAGACTGGGACCTGTCCAGGGCTTCTACAGACAGTCTAGACGAATACACAAACACTTTGACGTCATATATACATTTCTGTGAGGACAGCATCATCCCATCACGCTCCAGAGTCATTTTCAATAATGATAAACCCTGGTTCACATCCAAACTAAGACAACTTCGTCAGCAGAAGGAGGCTGCTTTCAGAGAAGGGGACAGAAACAACTACAGACGTGCGAAGTATGGATTTAGCAGGGAGGTGTCGAAGGCTAAATCCAGGTACAACACACGGCTGGAACAACAATTCTCTGCAAACGACTCTGCCTCTGTCTGGAGGGGGCTGAAAGAGATAACTAACTACAAGCCCAGAGCACCTCATTCTACAGACAATCTCAAATTGGCAAACGATCTGAACGACTTCTATTCACGCTTTGAAGTCATGGACTCACATTCCTCCATCCTCCACACCAACCCCAGCCCAACTGGTTTAACGACTTTGGACTTCCCCCAACAAACCCCTGCTATCTCTGTACAAGAGGATGAAGTAAGGAGGCTTTTTAAAAGGCTGAATACACATAAGGCTGCAGGCCCAGACCTTGTGTCACCCTCCACGCTGAGACATTGTGCTGGAGAGTTGGCTTCGGTCTTCACAGGGATCTTCAACTCTTCTCTGGAGTCTTGCCACATCCCAGCCTGTTTCAAGTCCTCCATCATCGTCCCTGTCCCCAAGAAGCCACGTGTCACAGGACCAAATGACTACAGACCTGTAGCTCTCACGTCTGTAGTCATGAAAACCTTTGAACGCTTGGTTTCATCTCACCTCAAGTCCATCACCAACCCCCTCCTGGACCCCCTGCAGTTTGCCTACAGGGCCAACAGGTCTGTAGATGACGCAATAAACCTGGCTCTTCACTTCATCCTGCAGCACCTGGACTCCCCAGGAACCTATGCCAGGATCCTGTTCGTGGACCTCAGCTCCGCATTTAACACCATCCTCCCTGCTCTGCTCCAAGACAAGCTCTCCCTGCTCCATGTACCTGACTCCACCTGCAGGTGGATCACAGACTTCCTGACAGACCGGAGTCAGTGCGTGCGGCTGGGGAGAGCTGTCTCGGCCACTCGGACTGTAAGCACAGGATCTCCACAGGGCTGTGTGCTTTCCCCCCTGCTTTTCTCCCTGTACACCAACTGCTGCACCTCCAGCCATGACTCTGTGAAACTTATTAAGTTTGCAGATGACACCACCCTCATCGGGCTCATCTCGGACGGTGATGAGTCTGCATACAGGAGGGAGGTGGACCGGCTGGTGACCTGGTGCAGCAGCAACAACCTGAAACTCAATGCCCGGAAGACAGTGGAGATGATTGTGGATTTCAGGAAAGCCACAGCCCCTCTGCCCGCCCTCACCTGTAATGATACCCCCATCACCACTGCAAACTCTTATCGGTTCCTCGGCACCACCATCACCCAGGACCTCAAGTGGGAGCCGACCATCAGCTCCCTCATCAAGAAGGCCCAGCAGAGACTGTACTTCCTGCAACAGCTGAAGAAGGTCAAGCTGCCGGCCAAGCTGATGGTGCAGTTCTACACGGCCATCATCGAGCCCATCCTCAGCTCCTCCATCACGGTGTGGTACGCCGGGGCCACTGCCAGGGACAGACTGAGACTGCAGCTCATTGTGCGCTCAGCTGAGAAGGTGATCGGCTGCAGCCTTCCATCCCTCCACGACCTGTACGTCTCCAGGACTGTGAGGCGAGCGGGTCGGATCACAGCTGACCCTGCTCACCCTGCACACGGACTGTTCGAACCACTCCCCTCAGGCAGGAGGCTTCGGTCCATACGAACCAGAACCTCCCGCCATATGAACAGTTTCTTCCCCTCCGTTGTTGGACTCCTGAACACACATAATGCTACCTCATAATTTCTACTTTGGTCACATTACATCTGTATTATAATTGAATACTCCATCTGTATTGTTTTCTAAGCTTTTTTATTGTTTTCTATTGTATGGGTGTACACATGTTTATGTTATGTTTTTAATTTTACTTTATTTGTGGGTGTACACAGGTCTTATGTCTTATGTAATGTTCTCATTTTTACTTCATTTTTACTTTATTTTATTTTATTTTACTTTATTACTATTCGCACCTTATGTCGAAGCAAATTCCTAGTTTGTGAACCTCGTTCATTGACATAGCAATAATAAACTGATTCTGATTCTGAACACACCGGGTTAGGGAGGCTCTCAAGCTGAAGAAGGAGTCCTATAGGGCCCTTGTTGACTGGTGGGACTCCAGAGGAAGCTGAGTGGTACCAGAGGGCCAGGCTGTTGCTGAG